AGACAACTCTAACTCTAAACCCGAACAGATGGAACTCGACCTATGCATCTTGTCCATTACACTGTCACCATCCATAGCTAGCTAAGCCTTAACTGTTAAACTTTAAGAGTATATGATGGGGACAATTCCATACAAGTTATGCTTCATTTCAAAAAATCTTCTTGACAGGCTAAAACAATACATTCACATTTGTAATGTTTGCAATAAGATAATGATTGGAGACAATGGCCAAATCTTTGTTTATGAAGCCTAGTCTAGTCATAAGTAATTTATAAATAGTAGTAGTAGTAGTAGTAGTACTAATAATAATAATATGAGAAATGCTTTTGTTTATTAAAACAATGATAAAATGCTGAAATATCTTCTTTGTTATGTCTTTTAGCAATTGTATAATAAATTTTAACAGGAAATAATCATAATTTATTATTTGTTTAAAAGGAAAAAAAAAAGAAGAAAAAGGAATTTGAAAAGAAAAATAAATGAAAATTGTTGATTTTTGAGTTTTAAACTTTTTCAAGAAAAATTTAAAAAGAAAGGATCAAAAATTAAAAAATATTTCGTAATATCAAAGATAACATATGTAACAAATATATGATAAACATGATAACAAATGAAAAGATGAAATATTTTTATATTTGCAAAAATTTAAAATGAGAAAAATGAGCTATTAGACTAGCAATAAAATAATGAAATTTGATGATATTTGTCAGGAAAATTTTCGGAAAAAAAAAAACAAATAAAAATGATATCGCTAGATGACAATAGGTGGACTAATTTGATAAAAGACACTAATGATGGCGGATTGATTTGATAAAAGACATTAATGATAATGGATTGATTTGATACTATAATAGATTAATTTGATAAAAGAGTGAGAAATTACTGTCAACAACCAAAGTTTCAATATTTGATTTTTTTTCGTTTTGGAAAAAAAAGAAAAAAAAACGAAATAGTAAGGAATGAAAAAGATAAAAAACAAGGGGAATTAAAATTAAAATTGTTGAAATGATAGCAAATAATTTGATTTTTGATTCACAGAAGGAAAAAAAAGTATTTTTTTTTTGCAAAAAATTGAAAAAAAAAAATTGTTTTGACAAGAGAATTATTACAGTATTAACTTGAAATTGTAAAGAAAAAAAAAAGAAAGAAAAAGGAAAAAGATATAAAAAAGAAATTTTTGTAATTTTGAATCATTTTAGTTAATCTAATTAACAATTATATAAATGTATGATAAAAAATTTATCAAAAGAATAATTCAAATCAAATAATAAACCATATCCAGACCATTGACAGGTTATCAAGCTTTAGTGGAATAATTTTGTTTTAATTACTAATTTAAAATGATTAATTTTACAAACATATTCCTTCCAATATCAATTTTTTCTTTTTTATCTCAATACCAACTAATTCATCCCGCTCTCCCGCTATTTCCCCCATTCATCACATGTACCCCCGCATCCATTTTATTCTCCCCGATATTTTTTTTTCTTTATCAAATGTAATTAAGAAGACAATAGATATCTTATCATTCAACAATTCATACATTGTTTAATAATTCTGATAATATATGATAAATTACTATTTTCTTTTCCGTATTTTACACTTTTATTGCTTCCTTTTTTTTTTCATTATTTGGAAAAAAAAAGATTTTATTAGTTTTTATATTAAAATTTTCAAAAAAAAAGAAAAAAAACTCGAAAATTTGGAAAAATTTTTTAGAAATTGTTAACAATTTCGATATAAAAGTTCTTTTTTTTGATAAAAAGTATTTTATTGCAAATTATTACAATGAATGATATGAAAATAATTGCGAAAATTTTGTTTTTCTGTCAAAAAAAGAAAAAAAATTGATTTTTGATTTCTATGAAAAATTTATTGTAAAAAATAAGGATGTTATTTTAAATAGTTATATTTTTAAAATGATAAAGAATAATTATTAGTTAAATGAGAAGCGAAATGACTTGAAAATCCCCCGCGATATTCTAGATGCTAAATTCTATAATACATCAGTATACTGTATGACATGTTACTTATAATGTAAACCCGGAAATTCCATGATTTTTTTTTTTTTTTTGGGAATTCTCTGAGAGAATTGGATAAAAATAGAGGAAAAACTAAGGAAGAAATCTTTCACTCATAAAACGGTAATTTTTTGAATATCAGGAAAACCGGAAAAAAAATGATGGTTAGGCGCATCGATATTTCAATTCCGGAAATGATCTTTAAAGTATCGGAGTAAGGAGATAATTCTTCTGTATTTCACTTAGTTGTGTTACTACGGTAAATATTTTATAAAATGAACGAAAACAATTTATATCTACGAAGAATACGATAGTGTAATTGTTTTGAAAGTAATGTGATTAAGATAAACATGATGGCACTGTATTTACCGTAATTATATTATCTCCACAAGTAGTATCAACTATGATAGTTACTTTTTTTTTTTTTAAAGATTGATTTCGAAGTTTTCATTGAGAAAATTACGAAGTAAAATAAGAAGAAAAAATTGTTAATGAATCAATAATTTTAGGCGACCCTCAAAAACTGGATCCAACAAACCGGAAAATTGATTTATATGTTATTAAGTTAACGAATCGATCGATCAATATATCCAATAAATATCAGAAATGGATAAACTACAACAAAATCAGTATATAAACTAATTATCTTAATTAATCCATTCATTAGCACTATGATTATTATTACAATCCTAATTAAGAAGAAAGGTTGTAAAATTTTAATTAACAGTGATTTCGAAACCGATAATTCGCGAAAACACGGCAAAATGGTCTGGGTGGCGATGAATGGAAAACAGGTGGTGATTGTTCTTATCAATATTTGATAAATTAATACGGTTAAAGGTTTTGATTAAAGTTTACTTTCAAACTATTACAATTTATTACTTTTGAACGTCATGGTCTTGGCTATAAATCAAAAAGCCAAAGTAGTCACTGGCCAAGAAATGGTTCGGATCATTGTTTTAAAAATTAAAGACAAAAAGTATATATATATATGTATAGTATCAAATATCAGTCGTTAAAATAAACGGAACTAAACAAAAATGGAGCCGAAGAAAAAAAGGAAAAACGGAATTAATAATCGGAAAAAAAGGGAATCAATGATCGGAATGTCTTTTTTTTGTTGTTGTTGTTGTTTTCAAATAGATTTGAAGAATTTGAAGTTATTGTTTTTCATAAAAGAGGGAGGGAGGTGGGGAGAGGAGGAAAAAAAGAAAAATATGGTAAGGGAATATGTTTGGTAAAAAGGTATGAATGAATAATCAGTGTCACCTTTTATAGAGCGAATGAATCAATGTCACCTTTATAGAGGTTTTTGTTTTTTTTTTTTAAATTATTTTGA